ATAAAGGGGCTGGGGCTCAGTGACAGAGCGCTCGCCGGCACGCTGGGTTCCATCCTCAGCACCATAGAAAAATAAAATAAAGGTTATTGTATCCACCCACAACTAAAACAAATATTTTTTAAAAAAAGAATATAAAAGCCATTCTCAGCTTTCAGATTGTGCAGGGAGGCAGAGAGCAGGTCTGGGCCCACAGGCCACGGTTTGCTGAACCCATATTTAGAATGTAAAGAGCAAGACTTTGAACGGAGCTTGGGCCCGGGGAGTGGCTCTGGTGGTGCTGGCCTRGTATGTGCCAGGCCCTGGGTGTGATCCCCGTGGGAATGCTCATTTCCACTTTTAGTAAGAGAGAGAAAGGGTTATGTAGCAGAGGTCTCCTCTGTGCTGACTAATGATCTTCTTTGTCACTGTTCCCAGGGCTCTTTGTGGGGAAGGAAGGCCCTATGATCCACAGCGGGGCCGTGGTGGGAGCTGGCCTCCCTCAGGTAAGGGTTGGTGGGCTTCCTGGATAGGCTCAGCGCCGTGCCTCTGGTTGGCTTTGGAAAAAGCCATTGGAATCACCCTAATGTGACCTGGAACCTGGTGCCATTTGGGGTTAAGAAAAACGAGGTGGCCCGTCTCCCAGCAGAGCATGTAACTTAGACCTCAGAGTTTTGACGATGCCCTGCCGCCTCCTAGGAGAGAGCCGGGACCTGGAGGGAAACTAGGAGAGGCAACTGCAAGTCACCTGGCCCCTCCAGGCCAGTGCTGAGCGCCTACTTGAGGGCAGCCCGGCAGCTTGCCTCTGTGTCCCCGCAAGAGGGGCTGGGTGTGTCGGCCGTGGTGGCCTCGGGCCCAGCTCTGAGGAGTCCACTAGTGCAGCACAGGGGTGGCTGCCAGCGACGTGTGGCATGTGCTGGACCCCTGTGCACCAGCCCCCCTGTGCCTCCAGCCACTGCGTGTTTCCTTGTTATTCCTGCCCTCAGAGGAAACCCGGGCTTAGGCCGAGGGGCCAGCTCAGGACTCAGACTCGCCATTCTCAAGGGCCGCTCCACATTCCTGGGCTGCTGCTGAGAAGTGTCGATTCCTGGGGGCTGCGCCTCTGGGACCTCGCCCTCCCTGCTCTGAGAGCTCAGGGCCCTGTGGGTGAATCTTTGAGGCAAAAGAGGGAAGATTCTCTCTCAGGCTCATCTTTTCATCTCTCTCGCTCCTGCCTCGAGAGCCAGGTCCCTAGAAATGAGCTGAGGAGGAGGCCAGGGGGCGCGGGCGCTGGTGTGAGGATTGTGGAGCGACTAGGGACGGGCCCTCCGCCTTCCCTTGCTGGCGTCCTGTGCAGGACTCACTTCTTCTCAGGGCACTTCCGGTTCCTCCCAGTCTTTTAGCTCAGCTTTCTGACTTTCTGACTCTGCACAGGGGGCTTTCTGAAGGGCCTAGAAACTTTGAGGCAGGAAAACTAAGCTGCTCCCAAGTGAGGTAACTTCCTTCTTTGGACACTTCCTTCCTGCAACACACCTGCCCAGGTGTGCTCAGGCCAAGGGCCTCCTGGATCCCTGCAGCGACGGTGCCCGTGGGTCCCTCTCTGACTCGCCTTCTCTTGTTTTAGTTTCAGAGCATCTCCTTACGGAAGATCCAGTTTAACTTCCCCTATTTCCGAAGCGACAGGTATGGAGATGGCAGGAATTCATTTGTTTTGTTTTGTTGTTCGCCACCCTRTGGTTGAGCCAGGGCACTGTGCATGCTAGGTGAGCTCCAGCTCCAGCCCCAGAATCCTTTTTATGAAAAAACAAAATTGTTGGGGGCAGGGGTGGAACTTGGGCTTGGCACGTGGAGGCCTACGTGGGAGTTCATGTTAATGACCTGCCCGTCAGACCCAACGCCTGCTGTAGCCTGGCTCGGTTACTTGTGCCAGGCAGGCTGCACGTGAAACCCAACTGTCAGAATAGACCAGGGGGCTTTGCATTTTTTTCTGAAAATAAGAAACAAAAGGACTGAACTAGCATCGTGGGTTTGGTCTGCCACGCCACCCGGCCTAGAGGCATCTCAGCCAAYGAAGATGGTTCACGATTGAAAACCCAACCAAGGAAGGGCACAGGCGGGCATGTATTCAAGATGTCACGTATTCCCAGTGACTTACTGACCAGGCGTGATGGCACATGCCTGTAGTCCCAGTTTGTCAGGGGGCTGAGGCAGGAGGATTGCTTGAGCCCAGGATTTCAAGGCCCGCATAGGCAACTCAGGAAAGAAGAGCTGAAGTTAAGCTTCTGCTGCCTTCCTGAGTTGTAAGCTGTCCTTCTGGGCAGACTGTCCTGCTGTGGATCGTGCCACCCACGTGCACACCTCGGAGGGCCTTGGAATCAAGAGCCCGTGCTTTGCACACAGACCACCTTCTCCTTGTGGTACATCCAGTCGTCGTCCACCTGCTCCGCACATGTGGCCCGTGAGGCTGGGCTGTTCCGTGGTGCTGTGGTTTTCTGGAATGAAGCTCTGGGGGGAAGGTGGCTCAGCGCTGGCAGCCTTTGCTCCCTGAACTGGGCTGCGACTCGAGCTTGTGGAACACTCCTGTTCCCAGGTGGAGGGGCGCTGCCCTGAGGGAAGTCTGACGCAGGGAGTGCTCGTCTCACAGGTGAACTGCAGCCAGAGACCTGCCCCTCCCACAGTCCTGGCTGGTGGTGGCCAAGGAAGGTGGACATGAGGGAAACGAGAGGAAGCGTTCACAGATGGGCAGGAAGAGTGCTATGGGCCTGTGGGCTCTTTCTTGAATAAAACATCTYTCTCTCTTCTCTCCTCAGAGACAAGCGAGACTTTGTGTCAGCAGGGGCTGCTGCTGGGGTCGCTGCAGCTTTCGGGGCCCCGATTGGGGGCACCTTGTTCAGCCTGGAGGAGGGCTCGTCCTTCTGGAACCAGGGGCTCACATGGAAAGTGGTGAGGAGGCTGTCCCTGAAATCCCCACCCAGGCCCAAGCAYGCCCCATCACGCTGGGCCTCAGTACCGGCTTTGGATGGGCTGAGCGTCCTCTGTTGCAGCAGCCATGACCTCCAAACTGGGCTCTTGCACCTCCCTTGTCAGTACTTCCCACCCCTGAACAGCCCACGTCAGATGCTGCTAACCCTCCTCACGAGCCCCTGACCCTGCAGGGGACATGGCGGTTACATGAAGTGGGAGGTCTCGGGCGTCACTTGAGCCCATCTCCTGCTGCAGGTAGAGTGTTCGTCCCCCGCGTCTACCTTCCCTGTTGGCCCAGGACCTGCTCCCAGGAGGCTCTAAACACATGGTCTCCCACAATAGGCTGGCAGAGTGACAAGGTCTTAGAACCCAATTTTGATTGTTCCACCTTGAAATGGACAGTGGTTTGCAGCTCCCTGGGTGCAGCCCAGGTTTTGAGGTCCCTGTTAGCACCCTGGGTTTCAGGAGGAACCATCGGGGAGAAAGCAGGACCTGGTGCCATTGAGTTCCTGGTTTTTGTCCCTGTTCCCTAGCTCTTCTGTTCCATGTCTGCCACCTTCACCCTCAACTTCTTTCGTTCTGGGATTCAGTTTGGAAGTTGGGGTTCCTTCCAGCTCCCTGGATTGCTGAACTTTGGCGAGTTTAAGGTAGGTCTTGTCCTTGCTCCCAGGGTTTCTTACTGGACCCATGAAACATGCTCTTAAGTAAAGGACCAGAGAGAAGGACGGCTTTAGCAGGGCCACCTCGYCCCTGAGCCTCTGGGCACACTTGTGCCCGCCGCGCACAGGCTTCAGCTGGCTCTGCTGTCAGGAGGCCGGCGGCTGGCTCTGCTCTGTCTCCTCCTCTCCCCTCCTGTTCTCATGGCTGCTCTGCTTTCTCTCTCCCTCCCTCTCCCCTTCTCTCAGTGCTCTGACTCTGATAAAAAATGTCATCTCTGGACAGCTATGGACCTGGGTTTCTTCATCGTGATGGGGGTCATCGGGGGCCTCCTGGGGGCCACGTTCAACTGCCTGAACAAGAGRCTTGCCAAGTACCGCATGCGAAACGTGCACCCGAAACCCAAGCTGGTCAGGTATCTGCAGTTGCCTCCCCGTCACGGCTCCCTGAGCTCTTGTGAGCCGGGCACTGTCCTAGGGGAACGTCACATGCCCACACCCTGCTCCCGCAGCAGCTTTGGTTCCTCATCTAAGACCGAGAATGTGAACAAGGTTGTGAACCTACCCTCTCCTCAGGCCAGACGGCTGTGTCTGGGCTTAGTTATTTCCAGGGTGCTCACCGACTCCACCCTCTCCTGACCCATCACTAGCACACAGGACACAAGTCAGCAGGGTCAGTGTGGCCCTGCTGAGGGGCTGGTTGTCACGAGATGCTCTTGCCTCAGGACTTAGCATAGAAAACTGTTTAGTTCTTCAAAGAGAGGGGATGGKCGACAACCCACTGTCTCGAACACCCACTTTTTATGTACAATTTGCTCGCGTGTCTAGAATGAACTTTACATGCGCGTGTGTGCGCGCTCGCACGCATGTGTGGATGGTCCGGGGGTGCTGTGCATTTCCTCTGGAGACAGCGGGGAGGGTGGCGGGCGTAGGGTGGGCTCTGCAGGCCAGGCTGTTTACTGTATTGTGACAGCAGTGCTCTGCCTCCTAGGGTCTTGGAGAGCCTCTTGGTGTCCCTGGTGACCACCGTGGTGGTGTTTGTGGCCTCGATGGTGTTAGGAGAATGCCGACAGATGTCCTCTTCGAGTCAAGTGGGTAACGGCTCATTCCAGCTCCAGGTAACCAGTGYTCCTGCTGCCTTGGTCCTGTGTACACAGAGGAGAACCGAGAAACGTGCCTGTTCAGAGCTCACGGTGTGGAGGCTAGCCGCTCGACACCTGTGGCAGGTCTCTGGGAGACATGGGAATGTCGTCTCACCTGAGAGAGGTTGTGCGCCAGACGCCTCTGTCCTCACCTGCGCCAGTGACCCTGGAGGCCACAGAGGGAGCTGCTCTTTAGGACACAAGGGCAGGGGCCCCCCACACACTGCTCCTCTCCATGCCTGCAGGGACCCCATCCAGGGCCTCCTCCCCACTGCCTCACCCTCATGGTTATGAGTCCTTCTGGCAYAGGGACAGAGGGGTGTCTGTCAGAGTGAACCATGATCCTAACTCTCTTTTTGAGGGGGTGGTACTAGGGATTGAACTCAGGGGCACTCAATCACTGAGCTCCATCCCCAGCTCTATTTTGTGTTTTATTTAGAGACAGGGTCTCACTGAGTTGCTTAGCACTTCACTTTTGCAGAGGCTGGCTTTGAACTTGCAGTCCTCCTGCCTCAGCCTCTGGAGCCTCTCAAGCCTCTGGAGGCTTGTGCGATCCCAGCTCTTCTAGCTCCTCGGGTCCTGCTGGGTTGGGTTCACTCGCTGGCATGTCCCTTCCTGTATTTCTCTTTTCCCTCCTTGAGGGATGGTGTTTTCCAGAACTCTTCCCTGAGGAGTTGGGCGGGGACTTTACTCTTCCCCTGCTTTTGGTCCAGTCTAGTGGGTCTGGGAGCAGCCACGTGTCTGGCCTCTGTGCTGGACCCTGGTGAGCCTGCTCTTCACTCCACCTTCTCGTTGCTCCCGAGCAGCCACTCAGATCTCTCAGAGCCCCTCAGGTCCCTGGTTTCAGATGGGGGTGCCTGGGAGTTTCCCCTGGAACAGTCCATGAAGGCCAACAAACCAAGGCCCCTGGGCCACAACTGACCCTTAGAACTGCTTGTCTGTGCAGCCCCAGGTTAAGGGTAAGAAAAGAAGAAGGTGCCACAGAGACTGCATGTGACCTGCAGAGTGTGAAACGCTGGACCTTATGGAGACACTGGCTGGCTCCTGTCACTAGTTAACCCCAGGGCTGCCTCATTTCCCCACAGTGGTTTCCAGAATGTGGTTCTGTAACATTGATATATGACTCAAAAATAAGAGAGCATAGTAATCAAATGGGCTAACCAGAATTAAATAAGTTTCTTTAAGCCATTATGTGCCATCATCCTATATATAGGGCACCTATAAAAACTTAAATTGAGCAATTGTACAGGTGTCTTATTAAAATCTACAGGTTTTCATAGGTCATATGTGTAAGATGATGGGACATCATAGGACATACAGGACTTCTTAGGGCCTGTGGCATTYTAACAAGTATTGTGGAAGCTCAGCACTGTAACTGTGTGCCAGATGTTTACACCATTTTCCAAGCCTGATCACGCCCTCACCACTACCATGCTGATAATATCCTCCCCATTTCACAGACTGGAAAACTGAGGCCATATGAGGTTTTGACTTTGGCTAGTAACACGTAATATGAGAGTAGTTAATATTCCCTTGCTATGGATGAGGAAGGTGAAGTTTCACAAAATGAAATACCTTCCTAAGGTCACTGGAGTGGCAGAGTTACTTAGAGGCGTCTGGTTTGGAGTCTGCCCTGCTTAGCAGGCGCGCTGGTTTCTAAGTGCTGTGGTGCTTCTCAGTGCAGTTGATCACAGAACTTTCTCCGGAAAGCCTTCAGGACCCATGTTCCTCCAGACACGACTTGGGAAGCCCTGCATGTGTCACTTGTAAGCTGTCGGCTTGTCCACTGTGTGCTGTGCTCTGCTGCCATGGTGGGCTCTGCAGGCATTTCTCCTATGCCAGGATCTGCCAGTAGGAGGCGCTGTGCTCTTCCTCCTGCAGCCTGCCTCCAGCGGTGCTTGCACCTGGTGGGATGGTACAGACTGTCCCTAGCATTGTGTTAACTTCTGCACAAGGGCCTCTGGGTAGCCTCATTGATAGAACTGAATCCAGAAGAACCTGTATTCTTGTCAATCCTTGTGACAGGGTCCTGTCAGGTGGACAGCGATGGGGTGAGGCACATCCCCTGTAGTCATCAGTTAAAAAACCAAAACATTGTTCTACAGATCCCCCCCCCAGTAAATCAGGTGGTGCCAGAATTTCATCTTCCCACACAGAATGAAGGTGAGCACAAGAGGCTTGAATGCGGAGAAACAACCCTTTTCCCATTGGGTTCTGTTCTCCAGGAGGGGTCGGGGGAGAGGCAGCCAGGAGCACGGTTTCTGCTATCCACCCTGGTGTCAAGCTGGGTTTCTTTTGCAGAAAATCCAGCACAAAGGCTTTTTTCATTCAGAACCCAAGTTGGGACTTTKGGTCGGGTGACTCCCCTGGCCCGTCAGCTCCTAGCCACTTGCTTCTCACCAGCCTCATCTTCCCACAGTCCTTGAGGCTCTCAGCCTGGCTTCTAGCGCTGAGATCAGCTCCAGGGAGGAAGCAGGGCTGAGCCCACGGTGAGCCATGGTTGCTGGTTTGGAGCATGGTTGGATGAAGGCCCTCATCCTGACCCTTGCAGAACCCAGAGGATTCAACATGGCATTCAGTGGCTTTTGGATGTCTGTCAGGTTTTGCTGCTGTTTCACCTGGAGGCAAAGCTGTTCCCAGACTGACCTATTAGGGGTGCCCTGTGGTGCCCTGGTGGTGACTCTTGGGTTCCTTCTTTGTAGGTCACATCAGAAGATGTGAATTCAAGTATCAAGACATTTTTTTGTCCCAATGATACCTACAATGACATGGCTACCCTCTTCTTCAATCCCCAAGAGTCTGCCATCCTCCAGCTCTTCCACCAGGACGGTGAGTGTCCGCTGCCCCTTCCCTGCGATGCAGCCTTGCCCTTCATTCRGCACAAGGACAGGCTTTTCCTTTGTAAAAAATGGCAACCAGGTAAGAGTTCTGCCTCCAGCGCTGGCAGGTGCTTGGGGTGGGGGCTGAGGGGTTGGCAGAAGCCGGGACTGTCGCTGGGCCTCAGCAGGCGCCTGGCTGCGGGACTCAGATGGTTCCTGCATCACAGGGACTTTCAGCCCCATCACCCTGGGCTTGTTCTTCGTCCTCTACTTCCTGCTTGCATGTTGGACTTACGGCATTTCTGTGCCAAGTGGCCTGTTTGTGCCTTCTCTGCTGTGTGGAGCTGCTTTTGGACGTTTAGTCGCCAATGTCTTGAAAAGGTACGGTGTGAGTGTGCGCGTGCACGGAGGTCCTCGTGCAGGGTGTGGAGGCTGGCCCCGCACCGACCTCCCACACTGGCGGCATTCTAAGCCATGTTCTCGGTTTCCTTCTTCACCAGCTACATCGGATTGGGCCACATATATTCAGGGACCTTTGCCCTGATTGGTGCCTCGGCTTTCTTGGGTGGGGTCGTCCGGATGACCATCAGTCTCACGGTCATCCTGATAGAGTCCACCAACGAGATCACTTACGGACTTCCCATTATGATCACTCTGATGGTGAGCACGTCCCTTCCAGGCCCCTTTCAGGTCAGGGCCAAGTTCACCCTGAAGGGCCCATTTTCAGGTCTCTACTTTGTGTTTCAGGTGGCTAAATGGACAGGAGACTTTTTCAATAAGGGCATTTATGACATCCACGTGGGCCTGCGAGGTGTGCCACTTCTGGAGTGGGAGACAGAGGTGGAGATGGACAAGTAAGGCCATGGTTCCTCTCCCAGCCTTGCGGCAGAACTTCCACCTCCCAGGCCTAGGGAAGGCTGGTCTGTGGGTGGGAAATAGTAACAGGTTTCTTGGGTTGGAAGAATGAGCACATTTGTTCTCCCAGCATGTTTGGGAATGTTGAACAGCTTGGGGCGGCAGAGCCCAGGGGACAGGGCAGGGGCCAGGAACAGTGAAGTTGTGGAGGCAGTTGTGCTCGTTTGACTCCTGCAGCACCTGGTTACATTTGAAGTGGGGTCTCTGGATGGAGTGTGCAGTGTGGTTGAACGTTCACATTAAGGTAGAGCTCGCTTCAGCAGGGCTCTGCGTGCACCCAGCAGAATGTATGGTCAGCAGACATTGTCTTGGGCATAGTCAGCCCAGAGCCCACCTGATGATCCACAAATACTTTGGGCCTCCTGTCTGAATAACAGGCAAAGACCTGATGAGCTAATGCAGGGGTCTGCAGGCCATTTCTGTAACAGGCCATGTAGTAGATGCTTTCAGCTTTATGCATCTCTGTCACAACCCCCAGCTCTTCTGTTACAGCAGGAAACACTGCAGATACCATGTAAATGAGTGAGCAAGACTGGATTTGAGCTGTGGGCTGATCTGACCTTTAGACCATCCCTGATCTAAAGGCTATCAAGGGTAGCTCCTCCCTCATCCCATCCCTGAGGATTGAATCTAGGGAGACCAGGGGTGTTCTACCACTGAGCCTCCCGAGTAGCTGGGATCATAGGCATGAATCATTGTGCCTGGCCCAAAGATGGCTTTTCAAGTTCCAGTACTAGCAGTTAGCAACTCACTGGCAACATGTGGAATATGCCCTGGAGTGCCGGGCAGGGATGGCCAGTCCCSGGGTGAGCTAGCAGGTTTGTGTTAAGGGGACATTAAAAATTGAAGCAAGGGTTGAACAAAGGCTCACCCGTATGACAAAGCCAGAGTTCATTCCAGGCATGGGGACACATGTAACGGGCAGAATGGGTTGGGTTCAACAAGCTGCTGGGGATGGCTCAGGAGAGGGKCTCCGAGTGACCCAGGCAGCCATGGAGAACAGTGCAGCCCGTCACTGTGTGCTCCAGGGGACCATGGGCTCTCATCAGGCTGGACTGCTCCTCCCCACCAGGTTGCGAGCCAGTGACATCATGGAGCCCAACCTGACCTACGTCTACCCGCACACCCGCATCCAGTCTCTGGTTAGCATCCTGCGTACCACGGTCCACCACGCCTTCCCCGTGGTCACAGAGAACAGGGGCAATGAGAAGGAGTTCATGAAGGGCAACCAGCTCATCAGCAACAACATCAAGTTCAAGGTAAGGGAAAGGGCCAAGAGGAGAAGGGTCCTTGGTGTCCACACTAGGGTGCTGCCACCTCCCACCTGGGATGGACTTGAGGGACAACCTGACGGTCTTCACTCTGCCGCAGAGAGGAGGCTGGGCGGCACAGGTGCACCCACCAGACCACAGGTGTGTGTCCATTCTTCCTTCTTTATTTTTGGTGCTGGGGATTAAGCTCAGGGGCACTTTACCACGGAGCCACATCCCCAGCCCTTTTTTATTTTTTACATTGAGACAGGGTCTCACTGAGTTACTTAGGGTCTTGCTAGGTTGCTGAGACTAGCCTTGAACTTGTGGTCCACCTGCCTCAGYCTCTTGAATCACTGAGATTACAGGCTTGTGCCACCGTGCCCAGCCAGAAGGGACTTTGACCTGCCTAAAGCAGAGAAGGGAATCTCATGGAAGCATCAGGACTGACAGGAGGGCTGAACAGCCGTGTGCTCTGGGTTCAGAAGCACTGAGCCTCACGATGCCCTTCGCAGCCCCAGGAGGAATGGGTGCTGCTGCTCTTCCTGTGGGTTCTTCCCGACCCAGACTCCAAGACGAGGGCAAGTCCCACTGCTTCACTTGGTCTTTGGTGGTTTCAGGAGGGTAGCACAGATATTAACAGTCCCACCAAGACAGGACGTGGGAGGGGGTTGGTCCCCTCTGGAAAACTCAGGTGTTCTTCCTGACTCGAAGGGGAGGGATGTCGGGGCAGCAGAAATCACGGGTCAGGGACTGGGGTGTGGCTCAGTGGTAGAGCACTCGCCAGCACGCCTAGCCCAGTGCCCAGGTGCGGCGCCCAGCACCACAAAGGAAAACAAAAACCAGCTGCGGGGTCCACTGCCCAGTCCTGGGACTCTGGCCCGAGAATCAGGCCCACAAGTCAGCGAGTCCCCTGTGTCCTGCGAGGCCCCTGCGAGGCCCCTGCGGTCCCACGTCAGGATGTGTCTTGACCCTCGTTGTTCCCAGGTGCTTGGCCTCTGAGTGCTGCTATGTGGTGGCCTCCCTCTGTGAGCCTGTCATTGTCCCTGCTCCCCATCCACAGAAATCCAGCATCCTCACCCGGGCCGGCGAGCAGCGCAAGCGCAGCCAGTCCATGAAGTCCTACCCGTCCAGTGAGCTGCGCAACATGTGTGACGAGCACGTGGCCTCCGAGGAGCCCAGTGAGAAGGAGGACCTCCTGCAGCAGATGCTGGAGCGGAGGTGAGGCCCGCCGTGCCCGCCGCAGCGCTCGGGAGGAGCGGCCTTGCTGAGGGTGTGCTAGGCAGCGTCTGGTTTTTGTGTAACAGATACACCCCCTACCCCAACCTATACCCTGACCAGTCCCCGAGCGAAGACTGGACCATGGAGGAGCGCTTCCGCCCGCTCACCTTCCACGGCCTCATCCTGCGCTCCCAGCTCGTCACCTTGCTCGTCCGAGGAGTGTGTTACTCTGAGAGTCAGTCGGTAGGTGTCGGCTTGGGATTTGGAGGCAGGCGGGGAGGAGCACGGGCCTGAGCTGGGGAGAGCAAGGCTGAGTCGCGCTTTCACCCCCTGAGCAGCTGAGCCCAGGCCCCCGCAGCTGCCTCCTGGGTCAAGACACCCACCCTCTGCTGCCTTCCACCCTCCACTGCCCACCGCCCTCCACTGCCCTCCGCTCTCCACTGCCCTCCGCCCTCCACTGCCCTCCGGCCAAATGCTCATCCAGCGCCTTCCTCTCAGCGCGGAGGCTGCTAATGCTGAACCCAGGGTGCTCTACCACTGGCCACGTCCCCAGCCCTTTTTATTTTTTATTTTGAGATGGGGTTTCCTTTAGTTTCTGAGGGCCTCACGAAGTTGCTAAGGCTGGCCTCGAAATTGTGATCCTCCTGCCTCAGGCTCCTGAGTTGCTGGGATTGCAGGTGTGCGCCACACGCCCAGCCGGGAGGGAACTCTCTTATCATCAGAAGAAACACCATTCTCACTGCCCGTCTGCTGTTTTCTTTTTCATTTTTTGGGGGGGAGCTATATTGTTTGATGTGGCCCCTGTGCCACCTGAGGCCACCCCATCGCACACTTTCTTTGTGGAAAAGACCGAGAAAGTCGCYGAGAGACCTGGTTTCCAGGGTGATTCTCCTGGGTGGGCTTTGGCCATGAGGGGCCAGACTGTGGCTCTCTTTCCTGTGGGGCAGAGCAGCAAGGGCCCTGGTGGAGTTGAGGACCAGCCTGGTAAGGAAGATGGCAGGGCGGCACACACTGCGTCCCGCGGGGCCTGGTCTGGCCCAGCTGGAGAAAGTGCAGGATCAGAGGTGCCCAGAGGGATCAGTGGTGCCCAGAGGGCAGCCGACCGCTCTGTGGGGACAGCTGTGCAAGGTGCAGTTGCTCAGAGAGGGTTCAGGGGAGTAGGATCACAGCTGGGGAGAGCAGTGACTGAGAATTAAGGGAAGGCCCAGAGGGAACAGATGGCCTGTGTCACTATCTTGTGGCTGTGGTGTCAAACTGCCATAAACCCAATTCCTGAAAACAGCAGGTTTATTCTTTAAGAGGACGAGGCCAGAAGTACAAAAACCAGGTCTAGTCAGCCCGTGCTGTCTCTGAAGGCCAGGAGAGGACCTGTCCTTGCCCTTTCCAGCTCCTGATGGCTGCCAGCCATCCTTGGTGTGGCTTGGCTGTGGACATATTGCTCTGGTCCTACCTCTGTAGTCACGTGGCATCCTTTGTCTGTTCTCTCCCAGATTGTGAGGACACCTTTTGGATTTAGGGCTCACCCTAATTCAAAATGACAGAATGACATCTTTTTTTTTTTTTTTTTTTTTTTTTTGGTACCAGTGATTGAACCAGGGGTGCTTAACCACTGAGCCATGTCCCCAGGTCTTTTTATTGTTTATTTTGAGACAGGGTCTCAATAAATTGCAGAGGCTGGATTTGGACTTAGAATCTCCTGCCTCAACCTTCTGAGTCACTGGGATTGCAGGTGTGCACTACCATGCCTGGCCAAAATGACCTCACCTTAACTTGATTACATCTGCAGAGACCCTGTTTCCAGTAAGGTTACTTCATAGACCTAGGGCTTAGAACTTGGCCACATCTTTTGAGGGGCCATAGTTTAATCCACAACTGCTACTTGTTAGCACCTTTTTCAATTCAACTTCAAAATAACCCATTTGTATCTTGTAGCTAAAGAAAAGGATATCCAGAGAGGTTAGGGGCCTTGCCCAGGGTGACTCAGTCAGGGCCAGCAAGAACTGACTCTGGATCAGACTGTGTCCCTCCAGAGTGCCCGCTGCTGCCTGGGCTCTGCACCCCTCCCCTGGGCAGGGGGCTTGGCTGTCCATGTGGATGTGAAGGGGGAGGGGCTGTAATGTGACCTGCCAACCCTGGTGCAAGGATACTGACCTGGTTGGAATTGCAGAGTGCCAGCCAGCCGCGCCTCTCCTATGCCGAGATGGCCGAGGACTACCCGCGGTACCCCGACATCCATGACCTGGACCTGACACTGCTGAACCCCCGGATGATTGTGGTGAGGGGACTGTCCCTCTGGGCCTGCCCTGTGTAGGGTGACTCTTTGTCTAGGCTGTGGGTGACTTTTGCGTTCTCTTCTGCAGGATGTCACTCCATACATGAACCCTTCGCCCTTCACAGTGTCCCCCAACACCCACGTCTCCCAAGTCTTCAACCTGTTCAGGACAATGGGGCTGCGCCACCTACCAGTGGTGAATGCCGTGGGAGAGGTGAGTCCTGGTGAGGGGACCCGGGGGCCCTGCCTCTGTGGCCCTGCAGGCTGGTGGCCGATCACAGGGAGGTTTCTCAAACCTCAGCAGCTCTCGGGGCTGGGGATGTGGCTCAAGYGGTAGCGYGCTCGCCTGGCATGTGTGCGACCCGGGTTCGATCCTCAGCACCACATACCAACAAAGATGTTGTGTCCGCCGAAAACTAAAAAATAAATATTAAAAGTCTCTC